AATTAATTTTTTTTAAATAATTTACTTAACAAATCTTATAATATGAATATACAAATTATTGAAATAAAATTGCGACAAATCCCCACGGACCTCACAGCAGTAACCCCGTAAAGTGTATACTTTCAGTGTAAGAGTTGATAAGCTTTCTTTTCTTTTCTTTTTTTTTCTTTTCTTTTTTTTATTTTTAGTTTCCAATATGTCATTTATATTTTAAAAAAAATCACTAAAAATATCAATTTTCAAACAAGCGCTCAATAACTATTACAGTACATCCAATAAGGAAAATGTTTGAGGGCCACAATTATTGTGGTCACAATAGCTTAAAACTGTCAAAACGATTTCGTTTTGAGTGCAAAACATGCCAAAATGACGTCGTTTTGGTAGTTTTGAACCATTGTGGCCACAAAAACTGTAGCCCTCTAGCATTGTTAATCCAATAATTATTAAATGATTTTTTTCATTCATCAAACCACTTAAAATTGCTAAAATATTTTCTCATTTATCATATTGTCTAAAAATATAAATATAAAAATTATAATTATATATACTCCCTCCGTTCCAAAATATTAGTCTCTTATTTCATTTTTTTTATTCCAAAATATTAGTCTCTTTTCAAAAATCAAGTATGAAAATAATAGCCCTTCTTTTAAATTCATTAATAACATAAAAAGTATAATTATGACATTGATGTTCCCAAAAAAATATACTATTAAAGGGTAATTTTCAAAAATTAATTTTTTTAAAAGTGTAATAATTGTACTATCAAAAAAAAGTTGAATTCTCCAAAATGAACTATTATTTTGGAACAGAAGGAGTATATACATATCGGTGATGCTACATGTATCAATTAGTGTACACACTAGTATACTAAGGCCAAGTTTGGCAAGTCTATAAAAAGTCAAAAAGTCAAAAAGTTACTCAAAAAGTTAAAAAGTTATCACTATTAACCAAAAGTCAAAAATTACGAATGCACAACTCTCAATCCTAATTTTCTCCTAGACACTAATTTATACAATTTTTTAATACACATATTTTCATAAAAAGTCAAAAAGTTAACCCAAACATCCATATTTTTTTCCTCAATTTTTTTGTCAAAAAAGACAAAAAATACATTTATTTTGGACACCCTAAATAACCCCTAATTAGTGTTATAATATCATTCATGACATTATTTATTATACAAATTATACATACCTAAAACCTCTAAAATTATGTCACATCATCTATTAGTACACTAGTGTCTACACTAATTAGTACATATAGCATTATTCTATACATATATGCACTAATTAGTGTACTAACTAGTGTATCAATTGATGATGTGACATAATTTTAAATTTTTTTTAGTATTTATAATGTAATTAATAAGTGGGGTCAATAATAATATTATAACTAATATTGATACATTAGTGTGTATATTAATTGAGGCATATTGTACCACCGATTTATGTATTGGATTTGAGAGTGCACTTGCTCATGAATGCCCTTTTGAACTTAAAATGTTGGAGCCATCATGAAAAGATTTAAAATATTTTTCGTATTTAATGAAATTCTTACAGTTTTTTTTTTTTACAAATATTATACTTTCTAATTGTATTTATATTAAATGTATCTAAAAAATAAAAAATGAATTCCTTAAAATATTAAAAAAAATCACTAAAAATAATATAAAAAAACACGAAAAACAAAAAATTAAATTTTTCAAAAATTAAAAACCAAACAAGGTAAATTGCTTTTAAAAAAATTATCAAAATCATATCCAAAAAAATATGATCTTGTGATGGGGTTATAAATATCTAATTAAACTTTTTTTTATATATAAATAATTTGCTCAACAAATCTTATAATATAGAGAGCCCAAATTATTAAAATAAAATTGTGACATATCCCCACCCCCACCGACCTCACAGCAGTAACCTCGTAAAGTGTACACTCAGTGCAAGAGTAGATAAGATTTCTTTTCTTTTTTTTTTTCTTTTTTTTATTTTTAGTTTCCAATGTGTCATTTATATTCGAAAAAATCACTAAAAATATCAATTTTCAAACAAGTGCTCAATAGCTATTATATCCAATAATTATTAAATAATTTTTTTCATTCATCAAACCACTTAAAATTACTAAAATATTTTCTCATTTATCATATTGTCTAAAAATAAATATATATTTATGTATTGGATTTGAGAGTGCACTTCCTCATGGATGCCCTTTTGAACTTAAAACGTTAGAGCCATCATGAAAAGAATTAAAACCACTACCAAAGTCCAATCTAGGAATGGGAAGAAAGATAGTCATCAAAGAAATTGAACTCCCTCCATTGTCAAAATGTTTTCATTCTCCTATATCTGGACCTTCATACAACTTCAAATTTTGTATTTTGTTTATTCTTTTCCATTTATGGTGCGTTGTAGAAACCTTAAGGAGAAATTGCCAATAGATCCTACTTTTGAGACTTATTACCTATTAAGTCTTATTGATAAATTTATCAAATAATAAATTCATCAATCTCTTGTTTTTACGAATAAATTTATAATGATAAATTTATCAGTTAAGACCTATAGATAAATATTAATGGGACTGATTGGTAAGTGCCCAAAACTTAATAGGCAAGTATAAATAATTATAAAAAAAAAAAGCCTACAAAAATAATAAGAGCATTGTTATTCAAAATAAAAAATTAGACTCAATTTTCAAGTCTAGTGATGTGGCAATCAATTACGATATTAACATTGTCTCTTATATCTTCTTTAATTATCAACCGATCATATCAGTTACACATCATTAAGTCTAAAAAATGGACTTAAAAAGTAGATTTATATATCATTTTTAAAATAATAATTATAAATTAATAGTGTATAAGAAAGAGTATAAAGATTGGGATTGTAGAGATCTAGATATTTGAAATTGTAATGTAACAGATCCATTGGAGTTTCATATAACGACAATGCTACGTAGTTCAAATTTTGTGGCTCAAAAGTGGCTCAAATGGCCAAAACGACTTCGTTTTGAGTACAGAACAACATAAAAATGGCCAAAACGACGTCGTTTTGACCATTTGAATCACTTTTGAGCCACAAAATTTGAGTTATGAGACATTTTCCTTCATATAATTGTTTCTGGATTTGTTTGAGTTTGTCTTGGTTAATGGGATTGCATCTTGGATGACTCAAGTGTCATCATCCTTGGCATTGGATTTTAGTCCGTCTACCCAAATAATTACTTTGGGTATCATTATTTTAGATTTTGTTTGATGACGTTTTGAGTACAGAACAACATAAAAATGGCCAAAACGACGTCGTTTTGACCATTTGAGCCACTTTTGAGCCACAGAATTTAAGCTACGAGACGTTTTCCTTCATATAATTGTTTCTGGATTTGTTTGAGTTTGTCTTGGTTAATGGGATTGCATCTTGGATGACTCAAGTGTCATCATCCTTGGCATTGGATTTTAGTCCGTCTACCCAAATAATTACTTTGGGTATCATTATTTTAGATTTTGTTTGATGAGATTCAAAAATGATTGTAGAATCTTTTGGATTGGATGATATGTATTTGAAACTTGGACAAGATATTGTCATGGCTTTTAAGTAGACGCAATATATAACCATTAGATTGAATGTTGGTGAATCCATATTATATCTCTTTATTTGGATATTAAGAGCAAGTGTTTTTAATATAATGGGATCAACTTGGACTAAATCAAGATGTAGGAAATTGAATTGTTTTGGTAATTTGATAATACTTTCTGTACAAAATTGAGTTTTCACTTGTATTCACTTATGCTTCATTGATTTGTAATTACTTTTTTCCTTTTTTCTTTATATATTCTTTCAAACTTAATTTATTAATGCTCCTACATTATTTTGATATTTTAATTCATCACTTTGAAAACATAGCCTTAATGTCATAGTCTTTTGCTTGTATCATTTATGAATTAACCTAGACTTTAGACAATTCAATACTCTAAAATCGACCAATTTAATTACTTTTCAATATAAAAATATCTCAGTTTTTAAAACACTCAATAGACAAGTTCATTGACAATAATATCAATTGTGTCCTCTCACTTAATCTTAGCTCCAAGCATACTTTATTGACAAAGGGTTAAATACTCCAGTTTCCCCAAAGTATTCATTTTATTTTATTTTTTATTCTTAATATTTCAATTATATCAATTTAATCTCAAATTTGTGTTTAGATTGTGCCCAACACTAACACTGTCTAGATTGATTGACAAAAGCGAGTGCATTTTGAGAAAAAAAAATATTAAGATCTCACTAATTGCAACCCCTCCCTTTTGAGGCATATATATTAGGTTGTATTGAAAACAATTCTATTCTAACTAGCAAATGTAGAGAAACAATTACCGAAACCATTTAAAACTCAAATTTCATACATTAGAGACTAAGGTCAAGTTTGGCATGATTGAAAAAAGATAAAAAGTCAAAAAATCACTATTCTATTTAAGTCACATCATCTTATTTAAATCACATCACCTCTCTAACACATCACTTCAAACCCAACCCAAACACAACTCATATTTCATAAAAAGTCAAAAAGTATACTTATTTAGTCTTTCCAAACTAGGCCTAAATTAACACAAATAAAATAATACACCAATTGAAATAATAGTGCATTTAACCCAAAAAAAAAGACATACAAAGTATGTGATACAAAATTAAAATAGAGAAGATATTGAAAGTTTCAATGAGCTCAAGAAAACCCGAAATAAAATAAAATAAAATAAAAACTTCTAATTGTTATTTCAACATTATATTAGCTTAGTTTTTAGCATGTTTTCAAAAAATTAAAATATATGAATCAGATTCATTGACTCATACCACACATCAAATTTAAATCTACACTTTACATTTCAAATTCTAAATATTAAAAAAAAAAAAAAAAAAAAATCTAAATATAGTTTGGATATTTGACCTGAAAAAACTACGAAATTACATGACTAAAAAGCAGAACCACTGCGAAGCAAGCAAGCAAGAATCAGATGGATCACAAATGTGAGAGACTTCTATTACTCATTATCTTTCTTATTCGCATCTACATCAATAGAGAGCCCCATGAAGTACATCATTCACAGCACCAAAGACTAGCAACATCAAGATCTTATCTACACCAATATCTAAAGATAACAAGACATGGTTGAAGTGAATCCAAAGACATTGCCATAGGCGGAAGCTACGTGCACAGAAGAATTTCACAGAACAAAACACAGATATGGGTCCCACCTCTTTGTCTTACATCTCTATCCCATTTTGTAGAATTCTTCTGTGATCCTAGTACACTTGTTGCCCTAGTTGTAAAAGGCGTGCCTTCCTTGAGCCACGTCGCAGGTTTGATCTTCACCACCCCTTCCGCAACTATTGTACCAAAGTTCTTGCATCACCCCAAAAAAATAAATAAATAAAACCAAGAAAAATATACAAAATTCAAGATAGACTGACCTCTTCTAAACTTCACACATCGACTTGCATGCCTTCTATCCAACAGAATCCTCTTGAGTAGCTTCATCATCTTCATCCATTTTATCATCAGGTCTATCATTTTCAGAGACTCGGTCACTACCCTCTGTCTCTGAATCCGATCCTGATTCACCAATAACATTCATTCCATTTTCGTCGTCATTGTCAGCACAATCTTCAGTATCTGAATTAGAGACGAAACCCTTCTTAATTTCCTCTTGATCACAGTCTTCATTATCCACAGCGCCAGCAAACTGCTCCTTCATATCAGGAGCGACAATCCCAATCATCTCGCTCAGCGCTTGATGTTCGCTATTCCGTTTCACAGCAAAAGCCTTAGAAGCCAGGGTTTGACTCTCAGCAGCCAGAACATTCGAATCATGTAATGCTGCAACACCTTCATCGTCATTGTCTCTACTTCTCGGAGACTCGTTCTCTCCATGTACCGAAGGAGCCGTGCTGCAAGCCCAGCTTCCGGCAACTTCCGAAGCCAAAAGATCGGCCGTTCTAATCGTGCCGCCAACTTCTGTATCTTCCATAGTGTTTTGAATTTCTAATGGGTGATTTGACTCGGAGTGGCGCTCAATCTCCCCGTAAATCGTCACAAGTCCCTCTGCGGCTTCCTTTTCATGGGTTTCATCATCCATCTGCATCGTGTCCCCAGCTAACACAATACACTTGCTTAAATCAATATTCCTGTCACCATCAATGCCGGCGCTTTCGGTTTCGAGGACTCGCTCAGTTCCAATGGTGTCTCCCTCATGAACAAGTGTGGTACCAGCACCGTCAATGTCGGAACCAAAGCCACCCTTAACAAATTGCTCTGCGCTCGTGAATTCCACCTCTTGGGTGTTTTGGCCATCTTCTTGGCTTCTGATATCACATTCGTGCTTCTCAGTAACACTGGCCTCGTCACTAGATGTCTCGGCTTGATTTGTGCCACGCATATGCGCTGACGGACCAGAGCCCAACCTAACAGCACTATTGTTTCGATATCCTGATGCGTCATTTCCTCTGGCTAGTGTTCCATTCACGTTTCCACTATTAGGATTGATGTTGAGGTCAATATCAACTGACGTGTTATCATAGTTTTCCTCATCTTCCAGTGTCTTCTGCATTGCCTTCAGCTGTTCCTGCTGCTTTGCAAACAAAAAGTTGTGGATAGAATGCCGCGAAGCGTGTTTTCCCTACACGGCTAAAATTTTATGTATAATGATACGGCAACATGAACAGCCACTACTTGAAAATCGCAAATATGAGCGTATAAAAATATCAATAAGCATCAAAACACCAATTTTGAAAAAAATATTAATACTACCTGTGATTTTAAATTTGTTTTCAATGTGCTAGATCTGAATGGCATTGAAATAGAATTTCACGTTTGGACTGGAACAAGAAAATCAGAGGATCATAGAGAGGAGTGCCACAGGCTCTCTAGTACCCCTTTTTTTTTGGGTACCTCTAGAAGACTCCTAATTCCTAAATATGCAAAATTCCAGATTACACAAGAGACATACGTCAGGAAAATTCTCCTTTGCACATTTCACAGGGCATAGCATGGGTTTTTTCTATAGTTTACAGATTTTCAAAAATTAATCTTGGTAGTCTGGTAGCTTGTGTATACCCCCTACTTTTTTGACTTATTTCCTTTCACAATTTAATGAAAATTTGTTTAGCACATAAACAGAGATGCCAAAAAGAAAAGCAGGCTCCCAAAACAACTTTTTCCATTCCTCAAAGACCCCCTGAACCAATAATGGCATTTGAGCCTTTAACATACCCACATATCAGCAGGGTTTAATAGAATAGGTATAACATCCTTCAAATTCTGCAAAATACCATATGTGAGCTTTGTTTACAATTCAAAAGCCTGCCAAAACTTTCAGATATTGGTACCTTTTTTGCTGCATGCAACATTAAATCAATATGAAATTTGACAATAAGTGCTCAATGAAATAATAGACGAGGTGAGGGATGAGAATCAAATCAAGAATTAAAAAAGTAAATATTTCCAATCTACATAAAATTAAATTGACTTGGACAATAAATGGATAATTTTGGATCTGTGCTTTACATATGTGACAGTTTGCAAATGAGTGAATCAGAGGCAAGAAAACGTACTTCGTACTTCATGAAAAGAAAACAATTCCTTAAAGCAGATACATGACCCACAGCATAAATTTAGTGGCCTAGCGATTTGTAATATATCAATGAGTATCCAAAGTAAGACAGGTGCAAACAACCAGAAACGTTTAATCTATGATTGTGACAGACAATAAAATAATAATTATGACGTCAATTCAAAACATAGCTTGTCAATCCTTACCTAAGCATAATCCTTTCCCTGGCAGCTTTTAACCTACGTCTCTCAAAATCAAGATCCCGCATTGCAGCATTTATCTCAAATTCAAGTGCAGAAACCTTGGCCCATGCTTCTTCCCGAGCTGCCTGCTACCAACATCAAGAAAAAAACTCAGTTTAAAAATAAAGAAACTTGAATAAAGCCTGTAAGAAATTCAATGGCCGTATTCTCTTAAAAGATTATATAAGTTCAAATGCTGCTAAATTTTTCAGATCTAATAAACGAGAAACTCAATAGAGGGGAAAAATTACACTAAACTAACTAAAAGAGACATAATCCAGAATCCAAACAAAAATTGATCATTGAGAAGTGTTAGAATAGTTCTTTTAGTTATTTTTGTTCTCTTGTTAATATTTACTTAAGTTGAGGGTACGATGGTCATATTGCTATTTTAGGTTTTTTATATATATTTGAATGATGTAAAGTTGAGGGAATTAATTAGTTTTCAATATATACAAAAGTTCTCTCTTCTTCTTCTTCTTCCTCCTAACTTTCAACCCTAATTTCTCCATTTTACATTCTCACTTGGTATCAGATCAATCTCTTCTTCATTAGAAAGGGTTCTACAGATTCTAAAGATCGATCTGAGGTGACCGAGACGTGCTGATGTCATCAGCCGTACGATGACGTCAGCATGACGTAAGCAGTGTACGGACGAGTCCTTCACCCCTAAACTTGAAATTGCCTCCTGAGATTTATGGTGATTTTTGTGAAATTTTTTTATCATCCCTGATGTGAATTTTCGATTTTTGAAACTATTTCGTGTTTTGGGACTGTTTTTTTTTTAATCTGCCTTTGGGACTATTTTTTCCTGGTTTTTCTTGCTGGGCTCACTTCCCTAGGAACCGAAAATCACCCCTCTAAGGGTCCTTGATCTTAATTTGTCGTTTTACTCCTGTTGGGTTAATATTCTATTCGATTTTTGGCTATTTCTGGTCCAGTCACCTTGTGTTCTTCGGTTCTACCTATTGAAGGCTCCTATACAAGGGCTGAAACCCTTCTAGCAAGGGATATTTGTCCTCTCTTTATTGATTGCTACTGTTGAGTTGATGTGTTGGTCTCATTTGGGTTCAAACTTGGTTGTTGAGCTAGTTCTGTGTTTATATTGGTGATTGTGGGTGTGGGTATTGGCTGTTTGCAAGTCTGGTTGATCATTATGGTTGAGATTGAGACTAAGGCTATAACTATGGGTAAAAATGATGACATGCCTAAATCTATCACTACAAAGAAATTGAATGGTGCTAATTATTTGGCTTGGGCCCATGCTGTCAAGATTTTCTTACGCGGTAAGAAGAATTCCCGCTATATTAGTGAACTCCCTCCTCCTACTGATGATAAGGATTATGATGATTGGTGTTGTGAGGATTCTTGTGTGATGGGTTGGATTTGGCATAGTCTGGAACCACAAGTTGCTACTACCGTGAAATTTTGTGATACTTATAAGGCCATTTGGGACTCCCTTGCTGAGTCTTTTTCAAATCAAAATAATGTCTCTCAGGTCTACGAGTTATATGAACAGATTTTTGCTATGCGTCAATCTGGCCGGTCTCTCCCTAATTATTATAGTAGTCTCAAGACTTTGTGGGATCAGTTACTACAGCATCGACCTTTCACTACTGATGTGACCACCCAAAAACAACATTTGGAAGGAGTTTATGATGGCTTCTTTACTTTCTGGCTTAGATCCTGAGTTGCGAGGGTTCAAAGATCAGATTCTTGCCAGTGACACTCTACCTTCAGCTGCCAATGCCTATTCTAGGCTGTTACGCTCTTCATTGGGACAAGCACAATCCACTTCTGGGTCCTCTTCTTTATCATCTTCTGCATTGGTTTCTAGTAGTGGTGATCATGGGTCTCCTCGCGGGGGTTTTCATAGTTCTTCTGGTTCCCGGAGCTCTTCTTCTGGTTCACGGGGCTCTCGTGGAGGTGGTTCTCGTAGTGGTGGCTCACGTGGTGGTTTCCGTGGTGGAAGTAGTAGTGGACCTAGTTCTCGTATACGTGCCAATCGCAAGTGTACTCATTGTGATTCCCAAGGTCATACTGAACCTTGGTGTTGGCAAAAGCATGGCAGACCTGATCATGTCCATCAGGTTATGGAGCCACCCTCTCTCACTCCTACTCTTCCCTCTTATGCTCCTTCCACATCCACTCCTCTATCCTCTCCCTCTCCTCTCACTTCTACCCCTCCTTTGCAGGTTTATCAACGGTCTCAAATTCGTCGCATTGTGTCTTATGGCTGGCCAGTTCATCTCCTTCGTCTGAGGCCCCTGTTCCACCTGCTTCTCTACCATCTGATGACCTTCCTATTGCCCTCCGCAAAAGTAAACGCACTTGCACTCCAACATCCTATTGCTCATTTCGTTTCTTATGATCGCCTCTCTCCTAGTCTTCACTCTTTTGCTTGTAGCTTGTCTAGTATTTCCATTCCTCGCACCTATCTTGAGGCTATGCCCATCTCTAGTTGGAAGTTTGCCATGGATGAAGAAATGCATGCTCTTCATCAAAATCAGACCTGGGACCTTACCCCTCTGCCATCTGGCAAATCTATTGTGGGTTGTCGTTGGATTTGTACTGTTAAATATCTTCCTGATGGAACTATTGAGCGACTTAAGGCTCGCCTGGTAGCTAAAGGCTACACCCAAACCTATGGTGTTGATTACTTGGAGACCTTTTTCTCCTGTGGCCCGTCTTAACTCTGTTCGGATTCTTCTCTCTGTTGCAGTTACTCAGTCTTGGCCTTTATATCAACTGGATATCAAGAATGCTTTTCTCCATGGTGATCTCCACGAGGAAGTCTATATGGATCAGTCCCCTGGCTATGTTGTTCCCGGCCAAGAGCATCTTGTTTGTCGATTAAGGAAAGCCTTGTATGGTCTTAAGCAGTCCCCTCGTGCCTGGTTTGATCGCTTCAGTGCTGTTGTGCTTGCCCGTGGCTTTCACCGTTCCACTTTTGATCACTCTGTTTTTGTTCACCACTCGTCTACTGGGAGTATTGTTCTTATTGTCTATGTGGATGACATCATCATTTCAGGGAGTGACTCCAATGGTATTGCTAATTTGAAGCAGTATTTGGGACAACAATTTCACACCAAAGGCTTGGGCCATTTTCGGTATTTTCTTGGGATTGAAGTTGCCCGTTCTTCTCAGAGCTTGTTTCTTTCTCAATGGAAGTATGTTCTTGATCTTCTTACTGAGACTAGTCTCTTAAGCACTCACCCCAGTGATACTCCCATGGATTCTAGTGTCAAGCTTGCTGGTGACACTGGCGATTTCTTTCCTGATATTGGTCGTTATCGTCGGTTGGTTGGCAAGTTAATCTATCTCACTATCACTCGTCCAGATATTGCCTATGATGTGGGTGTGGTCAGTCAGTTTATGCATGCTCCCCGCCAACCCCGTTTTGTGGCTGTATGTCGTATCTTGCAATACTTAAAGTGTGTTCCAGGTCAGGGGTTGCTCTATCGCCCATCTTCTTCCTTGTCTGTCACTGGCTTCAGTGATGCTGATTGGGCTGGTAATACGACTGACCGCCGTTCCACCTCAGGCTATTGTACTTTTGTTGGTGGTAATCTTGCCACTTGGCATAGCATGAAACAGACCGTCGTTGCTCGTTCTAGTGCCGAGGCTGAATATCGCGCCATGGCTCATACTGCTTCTGAGATGCTCTGGGTTCAGTCTCTTCTCCAAGATTTTGGCTTTTCTGTTTCCACTCCTATGCACATGTTTTGTGACAATCAGGCTGCTATCTTCATTGCCAATAACCCTGTGTTTCATGAACGCACCAAACATATCGAAGTTGATTACCATTTTATTTGTGATCTCTTACTCCGCAAGCAACTGGTGACTCCTTATGTTCGTTCTGAGGGTCAATTGGGTGATATTCTCACCAAACCTTTGGCTCAGCCTTCATTTCTTCGTTTGTCTGCCAAGCTGGGCATGTTCGATCTCTATGCTCCAGCTTGAGGGGGAGTGTTAAAATAGTTCTTTTAGTTATTTTTGTTCTCTTGTTAATATTTACTTAAGTTGAGGGTACGATGGTCATATTGCTACTTTAGGTTTTTAATATATATTTGAGTGATGTAAAGTTGAGGGAATTAATTAGTTTTCAATATATACAAAAGTTCTCTCTTCTTCTTCTTCTTCCTCCTAACTTTCAACCCTAATTTCTCCATTTTACATTCTCACTAGAAGCATGAATGGAAGACTTAATAACAACAGCATATCTGGAGGCAACAAATTTCTTTAATAAAGTTTCATGTCAATTATAAGCATGTAACAAATATCAAGACAATGTAAAATTAATTTGCACTAATGTTTCCAATGTAATTCCCATATTGAAGCACACACATACACCCGTGCATACTTTGCCCCCGCACACGAGTGCACACACAAACCATGAGTGCGTATTTATCTTATAATGCAATTTACAGTGTAAGAACATAGTTCACATGCTGACAGAAAATTTGAGTATTCATTGTAGTGGAAGTGCATAATGCATGGAACTCTGCCACATTCAAATTTCCATGCCTTTACATGCTCATTGTCAGGCCAACAAATCCAATATTTGAGATGCATCGACTTTTGAGCAACTGACAAGACTGAGAGTTTCCAAGTACAAGGGTTACAGAGGATGTAGTACCTGGGAAGCAGGTGTCATAGTGAAGCATTATATCAAACCTTTGATCAGAAGGTACTAAGGAAAATTTCCACTCCTACCTTTTCACTCTCGAGTTCTTTCCTCAATTTTTTTGCTTCATGCTCAAGTTCTTCAATTCTCTGTATTGAAATGCAAAACAGTTAGATAAGATAAGCACTAGCTGCTGATTTGTACCACCTCAGGAAATATAAAAACTTGTTATATACATGTTGATCTATGTAATTTAACTGAACATTGACAGAGGGGATCAAGAAAAATGATTCATATAGCCAATCCCACTTGATTGGGACATAAGGTTTCGTTTGGTTTGGGTTATATAATTTTATCTATATGGGCAGCAAAACCACGCGTACTTTTCTTCCAGTTGCAGAAGCTAGTTGCTCTTCACAAAATTGGGCTTCCAGCTGGCGGACTTTATTGTCAGCGATAACCAATTTCTGCCTAGTGTCTTCCTGTTAAAGAAAGGAAAAGACACAATCCTCTGAAAATTCAAACAAAACAGATTGTTTATTTTATTTAAAATTATGAAAAATTACACCAGTTGTACCAATTTGGATCTTAAATTTTCCACCAATAAGCATCTTTCTTTCTCTAATTCCTGAAAATGTACACAAGCAATAGTTCATCCTTTAATTAGCTTTGAGATAAATAAACACATAAAAACATTTGAGCATACAAACAATTACTTCCACACCTGAAGCTTATTGATTACTTCTTGCTGCTCCCTTTCTCGTCTTAAGGCAGTGTCTGAAAGTCGTTTTAGCTCCTCTTGAGCCTCTGACTGAACTCTCTGTATTGATGTCTTTAGATCTACTGCAGCCTTTTCTCGTTCTTCTCTTCTTTGATCTCGCTCTTCATATTAAAAAAAAAAAAAAAAAAAACAAAATTGTACTTTAGCCCTTTGGAGACTTCAAAAACTATTCAGCAAGGAAATTTTTTTTAATATAGCCTTTGTTTGACAATGGAAATTCCATAATAAGGTCTGGACTTAAAAATGTCAAAACATCCAATCCAACACTCAATTAACCAAATATTATACAAAATAATAAAGGGTGGATTACATTGTACTCCTTCAACTATTTGGCAGGAGATTGGGGCTAATTTAATGACAAAAAGATAAAATAAATTAAAAATTTAATAAAATAAAATATCACATCTAAATCATAATTATTTTACTCTTTCTCTAGCAAAAGTCTAAAAAATCAAAAAGTCTAACCTAAACAAACTTTTAGTCCCAGACTAAAATAATCAAAAATTAAAAAATCAATTCATTTTAAGATCATTGTCATTTTATCCTCTCTAACAAAAAATAATTATGTTGTACTCCCTAGTCTTCTAATTTGTCTTGATTTCAACATTCGGTATACATTTTGCTTCGAAAAATATAACCACAAAGTGGCATGAATTATATATGCCAATTTTATGACATTTATTCAAGTATATAAACTTTTTCAGCTCGCTGCTGCTTTCCTTCTTTGGATCACTACTACCCACTCATTCTTCTGTACATAACTGCTACCTACCAGTCTGCCATACTCCCTCTCCTTTGCCGTCCAACACCATCCGTATAAGTGGTTAAATCACTTAAAACAAAAATAAATGCAATAAAAAGGTGTATGAGATTTTTTACATTTGTCATAATTGATATTATATAAAGGCCTATTGAAATTATATAAAGGAAAAAAAGTCAAAAAATTAAAGAAAAAAATTGAAAAATCAAATTTTAACTGTCTTTTCAAAACATTCCAAAATTATGAAGGGAAATTTTATTATACACGTTCCTTGAAAGAGATATACTATATGTACTCTTAATTATATCATTTTTTTTTTATTATTTAGTTATGACTCATGAGATGTTCATTTATATCTCATGTGGTATTTGATTATAATTTTTTTAATTATAACTTAAAAAATATAAAATTATTTAATTATGAGATATATATAGTGTTTATTGTGTATCATAGCTTTTCCTAATTATCAAATATAAAAATAAATCATTCGCATATAATTGAAGTGACGGCCCAAGTCACAGCTCTTCCAAAGCATCAAAAAACTAAAAGCAAAAAATTTGGAGGCACTTTTTAGAGGGAAAAGCTATAAGACAAACGAATCAAACCATCTATATATATATATATATATATCTCATTCAGGTTCCTCAAAATTCGATCTACTCCTCCAAAAATCAACCTACGAAACTACTAATCATTGTTCTCTAGGAGATCAACCCATATTGAGTTGGCAGTCACATGGAAGGGTGGCCAACCCACATGGTAAAAGGAAGGCGAAAGAGGTTGGCATGAGTTGGCAAGCCATGAGGCTTGAGTTGGCAGCCATGAGGCTTGCCATGCGCCAGCAACAAAGGAGAAAGCATGGAGTTGGCCATGTGAAGTCTTCACATGGTGGGACAAAGCTTTCAATTGGACAGCAGCTCAAAGGAGAATATTGGGCTGGCAGCCAACACACCCATGAGGCCTCCTCCATCTTCTGTTTTGGTGTATAAAATGGAATGGTGATGGTGAGTTGAATACACGGCAAACATAGCAAGCAAGAGAGAAACACACTGTTGAGAGAGAGGCACAAAACAGAGAGAGCTAGTGAGAGCTATATTCTGTTTGTGTATCAAAGAGTGTAAGAGAGTGTGTTATATAGAGAGACAGTGAGTTGAGAGTGTGTAATCTCCTCCATTTGTTGATATATAACAACATCGCTCCCGTGGACGTAGGCCGGTTTGCCGAACCACGTTAAAAGTCTTGTGTTTTTGCTTGTGAGTGTCCCCTGGTGTGCCTAAGATCCGCAACAATTGGTATCAGAGCCCGGGTGGAGAAAAATCGAGTTTTTTCCGAAAGTGTCCAGATTTCGAAGTGGTCGAAATCCACTTTTGAGAATACCAGGAGGAAGGTCAGGAGGAGAGGAGTCCAAAACTTCAAACCACAGGCCAATCGGAGATCTAACGCGCCGCCACGCGCCACTTGAAGATCGAGAGTGAAGGCCACTCGCACCCACGCGCCCCACGTAGGGATGGCAATTTCAACCCGGCCCGACGGGGACCCGACCCCCCGTCCCCGATAAGAGTGATTTTTCCTCGAAAAATACCCCCGACGGGCCGGGGATGGTATTTAAAAACAAATCCCCGGTGATATTCGGGCCGGGGACGATGATACATATTTCATCCCCGGCCCTGACCCCTCGCCCCGTTTAGCCTCGATTTTTATATATATATATATGTTTAGGGTTTGGTTGACTCACACTGTTACACACAAAAATAGGCAGCAACTTCTCTCTCTCTCTCTCTATCTATCGCCTATGTCTCTATATTTCCTCCTCCAAACCCTCTACTTTTCTCTCTCTCTCTAGACTCATTGTTGTTCCTTTTCTTCTTTTTCTTCTTGAACCCCACTTTCCTCTTTATCTGTCACCTTTTTTTATTAGGTCTGTTTCACAAAAGATTGATCTTAATTGGGTTTGAATTGATTCATTAGATTGGATCTGCTGATTCGTTTTCGGATTAGTTTCTTCTACACAAAAGTAATTCGATCTTAATTCTTTGTTTTGTTTTGTTGTTTCGATTTCATTCTCACCTTAATGGGTTTTTTCTAATTGTGTTTTTCTGTTTCTCAAATCAACGAAAAGTGCATTTTCCCATGTGGGTTCTTAGTTTCGAGGCATGGATTTGTGGAGTTTTGTTCTTTTTCATGGAAAATTCAAATAATTTTAGTTCTTGGAAGGAAACCATCTGTAATATTATGTTTGGAATGTTGATGAAGATAATGAAGATGTTTTTTTTGATTTGTTGTTGGTGATGAATTGTTGTATTTTTCTAAAGCTGATTTTTTTTTTTATTTTGGCTGGGGAATGTTCGGGGTCGGGGAAACCCGATCCTCCAGGAGGAGAGGAGTCCAAAACTTCAAACCACAGGCCAATCGGAGGTGTAACGCGCCTCCACGCGCCACCTGAATATCGCGAGTGAAGACCACTCGCACACACGCGCCCCACGCGCCGACGAAGGAAGAAGACGAGTGGGGGCGCGCGTGAAGCTGACGTCAGGCTGACGTCATCCTGAGCCGAGCCGAGCCGAGCCGTCGAGCCGTTGACCGCGCCGCTGACCAGCCGGAGCCGCGCCGCCAGCCAAGCCGCGCCGCTGAGCCGCCGTTGACCGCGCCCCTGCGCCGTTGACCGAGCCGCTGACTGCGCCGTTGACCAGCCGATCCGGAGGAATTATCTGGTGCTTCTCAGGCGCACCAGATTTAGCAGATCTGAACCGTTGAAACTGTTTTGGCTAGATCTAGGCCATTCGGAGTCCGTTTTTGGCGATCCAATAGTGAGTTCCAACTATTTGAAGTATTCCGGGCACATCCGTACGGTTAGTTTTTGAATCGGAGGCATTCAAACTCTTTTGGCTAGATCTAGGTCATTCGAAGTCCGTTTTTTTGGCGATCCAATAGTGCGTTCCAACTATTTGGAATATTCCGGACCCATCCGTACGGTCAGATTCTTAAATCGGAATTTCTTTAAAAAGGGAAGAAATTTACAATGGCAGGAAAAGGCGCAAGTTTCATGATTGAGCCTTTTAATGGCAGTAATGACTTTACCCTGTGGCAGCAAAGGGTGAAAAACATTTTAACACGAGAAGGTCTGGTGAAAGCTCTTCTCAAAAAGTCCAACAAACCAGAAGACATGAAGGATGACAAGTAGGAGGAGTTGAGGGAATTGGCAAACAGTACAATTCAGTTGTATCTCGGGAACAACACACTCCGGGAAGTCATCAGTGAAGTAGATCCGGCGGAGCTATGGGCAAAGTTAGAGATGAGGTACAAGTCAAAGTCTTTGACAAACCAGTTATCTCTGAAGAGGCAGCTATATACACTTAGAATGCCAGAAGGTGCGAACCTCACAGAACATCTGGACGAGTTCAATAGGATCACAATGGAATTGGACACCATTGGAGACAAGACCCAGGAGGAAGATAGGGCTATGATCTTGTTGGTCTCTCTACCTGCATCATATGAGCATCTCAGGACAACTCTATTGTACGGGAAGGATGCTCTTGGACTGGATGCTCTTGGACTGGATGAGGTGATTGCTACGCTCATTTCTCATGAGTCGATGAAGAAACAGGAAGGTAGCAGTAGCAAACACCCAGAAGGAAATGCCATGGTTGCCTCAGAAAATGAGCAAGGCAGAGGTAGGTCCAATGATAGACGGGGTAGATCCAAATCAAGAGGACGTTCGCAATCAAGGTCAGGCTTCAGGAGAAAGTGTTATTACTGTGATCACAAGGATCACCTCATAAATGACTGTGCAAAGCTCAAGGAGGACAAGGCACACAAGGAACAGGCGAGCTCATCAAATGTCGCTGCTGCAGTAAATGCTAAGGATGAGTATGCATTTACAGTTTCGTCGAGTATGACGAAACCTGACTGGATCTCAGATTCCGGAAGCACATATCATATATGCATGGATAGGAAACTTTTTTCTACCTACCAAGCCAAGGATGGAGGTATTGTTCGAGTGGCTAACAACACTGTGAGTAAGATTGTTGGCATGGGAACAATACAGCTGAGAATGGAAGATGAAAAAATTTTCACGTTGGATGGAGTCCGACACGTGCCAAGACTGAAGAAGAATCTAATTTCCTTAAGTATGCTAGACATGAAGGGTTATAGCTTCACATCTAGCAAAGGAAATCTCAAAGTCATCCATGGAGATACGGTGATGCTACATGGACGACTGGAGGGAAATCTGTACAGGCTTGTGGAGAAGGTTGTGACAGACGGAGCTACTGTCACTTACCGGGCAAGACGTACAAGACATGCACAGAAGAGACATAGGGCCCAGCAGACATGGCAACCAAAGTGTAAAAGAACGCATGGAGGCAGTTCGGAGGTGCACAAGACGGAGCCATTGCGGCCAATTTTAAAGACAGCTCAGAGCAAAGACACCAAGACAGCAAAGCATGTCCCAGGGAAGAAAGTTTCTTTTACTCCTGATGCAATTAGGTTCCAAAACATATCACTGAAAATTGAGCTTCATGAATCTTGATAATATTGGCATACGAGAAAGAAATATTCGTCATCGCCCTTACACCTTGCTACCAAGCTTGCCTTGCTCTGAACAGCGTCTTACTTATTGCAAACAGAACAAAGGTGAGCTACCTAGCGAGTGATTTGTCGGAAAACCCATTCGGTAGTCAAGTTAGCTTTCTTTAGGAAGAAGGGAATTCAGAGAGAGAGAGAGAGCCGTTAAAGTTTGTTTACTTCCCTATAGTGCTTGAGATACGCTTTTTGTAGGCTAGCCATGTAGCCCCTGTAGGAGATCAACCCAAATTGAGTTGGCAGCCACATGGAAGAGTGGCCAACCCACATGGTAAAAGGAAGGCAAAAGAGGTTGGCATGAGTTGGGAAGTCATGAGGCTTGAGTTGGCAGCCATGAGGCTTGCCAACACACCCATGAGGCCTCCTCCACCTTCTGTTTTGGTGTATAAAATGGAATGGTGATGGTGAGTTGAATACACGGTAAACATAGCAAGCAAGAGAGAAACACACTGCTGAGAGAGAGGCACAAAACAGAGAGAGCTAGTGAGAGCTATATTCTATTTGTGTATCAGAGAGTGTGAGAGAGTGTGTTATATAGAGAGACAGTGAGTTGAGAGTGTGTAATCTCCTCCATTTGTTGATATATAACAACATCGCTCCCGAGGACGTAGGCCGGTTTGCCGAACCACGTTAAAAGTCTTGTGTTTTTGCCTGTGAGTGTCCCCTGGTGTGACAACATCGCTCCCGTGGACGTAGGCCGGTTTGCCGAACCACGTTAAAAGTCTTGTGTTTTTGCTTGTGAAACATAAATATTTGATAAAAAATTGCAAATCCAATATAAATTCCATTTATATAATAAAGTGTATTCCATGCACCCAGCAAACACATATTGAAGATACAAAATGTCATAGACTCCTACTAAGATAAACTTGTCCACAACTGTTCTCGCATGTGGCAAAGTGTGAATGTGAATGAGATAGTAAATTATTTGATGATCGATCATAAAAGATGTAATCGTGCTGGATATATCCATCAACCATGTGCCAATGCATGACATCAATTCCTTATATATTTTCCTGTTATGATTACCCATTTTGCCACAGTAGCCACAACGAATACGTAACACCACCTCACCCTTGGATGAGATCCTCTTCCGTTGGGGTCTTTCGGACGGTCACTTAACAATAGGTGGAGCAATTAGGTAATCTGCTGGTGTGAACTTGGATTTGGCTACCGTCGGAATTGGGTGAATAGACCCGTAATATGCTGCTCAGAATTCTTTAACGTGGTAAAACGGTTCAATGGAGTCCTATAAGTTTCTGCCACTATTTCGAAAAGCACAACCCATCCAGCACAGAATCAATCAAAATATACCCCTAGAATGGCAACATAACATTAACACCTTAAATTCAGACTTCCCGACACACCTACGAAAAACGAAACCACACCCAAAGACATTGAACCAACAATAAAACAACATATGAAACTGACTTGCAAAAATGTCGCACGGCACGTTGACAACACAGCAATGAAACCAACTTGCAAATTGTTGTACAACACGTCAACAACACAGCACCCGAAGAAGCAATTGAACCAAAAAAAAACAACAACCACAACTACAACCCCCTAAAGCAATAACCCACGTTTCCAATCAGAAAGACACATCAAATGGGTAACATCATCAACCCCACAAATCATTCCAAGCAATCCCCAAAAAATTTTGCAACATAATACCATACCTTAACGAACCCACCAAACATCAGGAGAAAAAAAAATCAAAAGCAAAATCATATCTAAAGGCAAACAAATAAACTCCACAATTTCCAAATTAAATAAAAACGACATACCATAAATAAATAGGACTAATTGGCTTAGAAGAAAACTTTCACGACTAAATAGAGTAACATTTTTCCAAATTATATTTTTGAGTAATTGTTCCTTTAATAATTTTAAAATAATAAAAAAAAAGTGATAAATATAGGGGGTGTTTGGGAAGAGTTTTTTTTTTTTTTTTGTTTTTTTTTTTCTAAAAAAAAAAGTTTTTGCTAAAAGACAAAATAGGTTAAAAAAACCAAAAAAAAAAAAAAACAAATCTAGATAAAATATCACATCAAACTTATAATCATTTCACTTTTTCTCTCACAAACATCACATCTAACTACAAAAAAATCTATCTATCTTCCCAAACACAAAAAAAAATTTCTCCAAAAATAATCAAAATCTTAAAAAACCTACTAAAATAACAACTTCCCAAACACCCATATAATATTCTTCACCAATATCTGGAGTCAACTCAAGAGGTGATTTCCGGCAAGTAGCTCCGGCGATACTCAAAATTTCATTATCTCACTCCTTTTTTTGGATCCTGCTTCTCAAGGGAAGGAGGAGTTACATAGTGTTTCCCTCCTCGTTTTTCATCTTTTCTCTGATCTAGAGCCTACAGATGTCGATTCTTTTTTATTTTCTACAAATTCTATTTCCTTTTTTTTTCCTAATCACCATTTTGATCTCGATCCTTGCAAATTTTTAAGTATTTTTCATCCATTTTTTGGCTTGCATTTATTGGGAGTTTTCGGGTTTTTTTTTGGTGTGTTTTGGGTCTCTTTTACTATGTTTTTGTTCGATCTGTTATCTCGTTTAGTTGCTTATAGTCTTTGTCTCTATTTTTGTTGTTGTGTTGTGATTGTGAGGGTTTCTTGTCTTTTTTTACTGTTGTTGTGGATGTGGCAAATCCTCTGCTAGTTTTTGTCTCATTTTCTTGTTGCAACAACCTCTTAAAGTTGATGGTCCGTTCAGTTCTTACATTGACAGAGCTCGTGGGTGGTTGAGATTTAGACTATAAAGCCTTCTTAGACAGACGTGCAAGTTAATATATCGGAAATTCCCAATCTAGACGTCCAATAGGTACACCATCCTAGTGATACTGAATCACCAGCACAATACACCCCAGTTTCTAGTGTCCATGAAAAGCAATTGTTGGCACCAAGTTTTGATCCAATTTTGCATTTTTGTGTAGGAGGCTCCAACCGTATCCAAGCCCTACAACATTGCTTCGTTAGTCTAAATGAAACACTACAAGAATTAACACTTTTGCCGACCAAAAAATTGGTCGCTAAAAGCCCATTTTTGGTCGGCAAAAGTTATCCGCGACCAATTTTTTTGGTCGCTACTTTGGTCGCCAATTGAGGGTCGGCAAAAGTAATTCGCGACCAAAATTTTGGTTGGTCGGGAAAAGTCGGATTTGCCGACTAAATTTTTGGTCGCTAAATATATCATTACCGCGACTAATTCATTTAGTCGCTAAAACACTTTGGTCGCAAAAAGAGATATTTTCCCGACCAAATATCTTAGTCGCCAATTGACACATTTCGCGACCAAAAAATTTGGTCACCAATTGTGACATTCCACGACTTTGTACCAGGAAAACAGAAAAAAAAAAATTAAAAAAAGGCCCTGATCTCCTGTCTCCAACTCGCTCTCTGTGTAGTATGTTGATCCGCCCTCTCCCTCACTCTGTGTTCTCTCTCTCAATCGGTACCCACTCTCTCTAGCTCACCGAAGTCCCTCACCACCATTGCTCACGTCCGTCACACATCGCCATCGCCCTCTGTCTAATGGACTCCTCAATTTTGGGGGATCCTAACCCAATCTCACCTCATCGCTAACCAGCATCGCACGCCACTATTAATGAGCTGTATCTACACTTCTCAAAGATAAGCACAAGAGCTCTATCTTCACTTCTCTAGACAAGCATATGAGCTCTGTCTACGGAGTTCATCCCCTATCTCCTCCCAATACCTATCCGGTCAAAAGATCGGAACATTTCCCCATCAATCATAAACATTACAACACAACTTTATTTCTTTACAATCGTGTCAAGGACAAAGAGAGACAGACACAGAGAGAGAACAGAATCAACGTAATTTCAGATGGATGTTCTTGGAAAATCCTAGGGAAAAAAAAAAAGGAATTAGATTTACATATAATTCATTATTGCCAACTCAATTTTGGAACTTTCAAACAGATGGATATTATTGGGCTTTTCTGGCAGTGCAAGGTACTTTAACCGTTTCTCCATCTCCTCCAACTGAGACCTGCTTCTATGAATTTCTTGTTGAATTTCCTGTTATTCACGTGAACTGATTATTATTATTTTTAAATGAAAATAAAAAATAAAAAAATAAACTGATGAAATTTATGGTGGTGTTGTGCATGAGAGATGCTGAAATACCTCAAGTTGGGAGTCTGCATTTACTGGCCTGCTTCATATGACAGGAAGGAAAACAACAAAACTAGTTTAATATATATATATATATATATATATGTGGAGAAACTATATGTTATTAAAATTAGGCCATCAATCCGAAGGCATTGATAAAGACTTATTGAAACAAACAGTGTGCAGTACATGGGTTTTCGAGAACCAAAGAATCTTTTTACCTGGCTGCTCCTTCTTGATAGTTGTTGTGATCTTTCAACTTGGCTAGAGCCCTCTGCAGATACTGAAACATTTAAAAATTTCATTATTGAAACATTTAAAGTAATAGCTTGATGTTGATTGGAATCGATTCAACACTACAATTTAGGGAAGAGAGTGTACCTCTTGGTTATGCAGCCTTATATGATTGCATTTTGAAGGATATGCAAAACACACATCAGTAATGAATCAACATATAGATAAAACCAAAAGAAAAAACAAAACAAGAAGTTAAATGTCTTAAACCTGATCAGTCATGATCATCAAATGACCATATCTCAAAGTCTTCACACTGTCATACTGTTTTCCATGCTGAAGTCCAAGAATCTGCTTGATGCTTTGAATTTCAACTCATCAAAATTAAACATTAAGTTTCATCAATACAGTGTACATTATATACATCCTATTTATAGAACTACATTCCAATTCGAACACCATCTCTACCTGCTGAAACTGCCCTTCGGTAAGACTGACACATATCTCCCCTGGTGCAAATTCTTACACTAATATGTTGTAGTTGTTCCCCTGGTGCAAATTCTTACACCAATTTATACCAGAATTAGTGTAGCCTCCTCTTGGTGAGTCGAATAACGTTGTATATGCATTGAGTAGGTGATCTTTGTGGTTGGCTGTGATGAGTACACAAGTGGTAGGCTTTGAAGAGTTGAAAAATTAGTATGCAACAGATCTATATTTTAGCCCTGTTATAGTTAAATTACAAGGACCATAAGGAAGAAGCTACCATACATAATGAAGGACCAGTTGTCCATTCCAAAGGGAGCATTATAGGTGCAAATTATCAAGGAGCTTCATGACAAGCTTAGGTAATCAAAGTTAGGGTCCGAAATTTAACAACATAGATGCTCCCTTCTTATGAAAGAGAGATGTAAATTGAAAAAAAAAAAAAAAAAAGAGAGACAGCCACCTTGTCAAGAGTAAGAGCCAAATTCTGAAGCCTTTGGTTGTAGACTCCCTTGGCCTGTCTCATGCAAAAAGAAAACGGAATATCAAAGATTGTAATTGAAAGAATACCCTCACATGTACAATACTTGAGTCTAAGCTCAGGAACGGGGGGTTGCTGTCAGTAAAACATTCACCTGGACCTCAGCATCACTTTTCTCAACTTCAATGGAGTTATCTGCGAAGTATTTCCTCATCTTCCAAATTATGCTTCAGAATCTCCTCAGGAAGCTTAGTTCATTCAAAATTGATAAACCTCACCTTCACACAACATGAATGCGTCAGACAAACAGAATCTTTAAAAGATTAAACCCACAAACCCAAGCTATGTATAGCATAGATATATACCAGTCGAGCTGAGTAAGCAATCAGCCAATCCCCCAAGTAAACAACTTCCCAAACCAGCCCTACCCAAGTCAATATAATCTTCTTCAGATACACAATTTAATTCACAAGCCTCTACTAACAAGTGGTGTTGATCCAGTATTCCATGCCCCTCCTTCAGCCCACTATCTACCACCAACACCACTATCATATTATATACATGAACACAATTTCCAGCACTAGGCATTAAAATTGTTTCATCATTCTATAGCATCTTTTCATTTGTCTTTACATATAAACAAAATTGCAAAGAAATACACAGAGCATTGATTTTTCTAGTAGTGCTCCTTTTCTAATTAAGGAACAAAGTCCTACAATGAAGGTAACCAGAATAAGTGTTCTTGGCGTGCCTTCCTAAAAGACAAAATGGGGCCAAAAGTCCCACAAAACTCTATCAATAAATGCCCTCCATAGATAAAGCAGCATTAGCCACAAAAGAAATTGAAGTCCTTGGTTCAGAAAGATTTACGTAGCAACACCTGGTGTTATAACAAGAGCTCAACAATCTACTCGATCATAGTGGATCCCTATAAGGAAGCCAATATATTGTTCACAAAAATCCATATTATTGGACAAATTCCAAGCACCACCCTTCTCACTTGGGGATAGTGAATCCATATAATCTTATGAAGAGTTTTAGTATAGTTGTATAAATGTAGCATGAAAACTATTTGACATATCTCCACTTCTTTAATTTAGCAGGACTATTTGAAGTTTTTAAAATACGTCACATGGTATTTTGCTGTATCAACGCAATTGGCTATTGTTTTCCTGTCAGATCATTGTATTTTAACTCAAACATAAGGATATATAGCTTTAAAATTTCCACTGCAGCATTTTTCTTATTAGCCACCTTGGATCCCACATGAGTCACTCAAAATTGCCTGGCAAGCTCATAGAAAATTATTGTTTTGATTATATAAACCCTTGGATTTTTTCAGCAAAACAAACAATGTAACTCTAGGAATGGCCTACTATAACTCAATTGCCCATAAAAATCAAAAAATTTAAACAACCCAGCTAGAAATTATAACTTTGGCTAATCATATAAACAACAATACATTTCATATTCGGAAAGACTAACACAACCTTATGCATATTGTTGTTAGGCATCTCTGTGCATAAATAGGAAATAGTCTCAAGTTTCATGTCAAATATGTGGAAACAATTTGGCATAATCAAAAGCTAGAACTACTAAAACAAGCATACATCCATGTGACTAAATCTTACAGAATCTGGAAGAAATTGAGTGTATGCAAAAACTAAACAAATCAAATCCGTACCATAAGTGTCCAATGGCTATTACTTGATCCCTAGGGGAAAAGAAGATGCAACCGACCTGTTTATTAATTCATTTGCCTCAGTGCATGACTGCAGTGATGCACTAAGTCTTTCATTAAGGTCCACCATACCGTGCCTTTGTTCAGCTGACACTCTCTGAACCTCTACCAGCTCCTTCTGTGTGATCTCCAATGAATGTTGCAACTCTTCAAGTTGATTCAGATAAGATTTTGAAACTGATTCTTTCAAATCTTTCATTTCCTGAAGAATAAAGTTGGTAATAAATTAAGGACAATAGTTGGGATAAGGCCCTGTCCAGCTGAGTTGTTTATAAGACAAAAATAACCAACTTAAAATCATTATCATTATGATGTAAATAACCCAAATAATTAAAACACGTTGATATATGGTGTAAATCTCTGTTACATGAACACTGCATAGTGTGAAATTCTGTGTTAGATAAAAAAAAAACAAGATGGGTAAGGATATGTTTTATACTAAAATATTATTAGTGATGTTCAAAGTAGAAGTTCCTTATCATACCCTTTCAACATGTTTCTGTGCTACATGGATACAAATGATTAAAAGAAAGCCATATCTAACAAATTATGTTACATATGAAGTTCCTTATATAGTATGGTGGAACCAAACTAGGATTCATGTTCATTAAGAGATCTTACGTGAATAAATATGTTGTCAAGCTTAGATAGTATGGTAGAGTTGAAGAAAAACTGGACAATAAAGCAAATCACTGAATTCACCAATAGACAAAGAATAATTTGTATTGCAATTTTTTTTTTAACCAGCAACAAAAATTATCATGGCACATGTTTTGCACAAACTATTCTTTGAATTTTTAGGTAGAATTTTAACTTAAAAAAAAATATTTTCCATACAGAAATAGATAATAAATCCACTCTCAATTTTTCTTCTTGCGACAGAGCTTTCGCGCTTCTACATACCCAAAGTTTATTCATTACTTAACGTAACAAATTCATAGTATTCAATAATCTATCCATGGTAATAAAATTTGATTTTTTCTTTCTTTTTTTACCTCGAAACAAAATGGGATTTCTTATGTTATGTCTATCTGAACCCACACCATCAATAAAACAAGCAGCCCTTTAAGAAGTCTGCTTCTTTATGCTCTTTTCCTCTAGTAACAACTTTAATTCTTCATGTGTGAGAGAGAGAGAGAGAGAGAGCAACTACATGTATTTGGATGAAGTTGAACTCATCATAAAAGAGAGAAAATATATGCAATCAACAAAGGAAGTTGAAAGATTCATTCATAGATCAGCACTAATGTCTGATTGCCTGCAACTTCCATTATTACAAGTTCCACACTGTAATTTGGGTATACGATTTGTCCACTAAAAAAATAACAAGAAACTACTAGTATTTTCACAAAGATCCTTCTCTATTGTCATGTCTATTACAAGAAGATAGGCAACAAAAAAGGTATCTCAAATGACTTAAAATTGCAACCAAAGTTCAGCCTGTACAGAATTTCTACTTTATCTACTTGAGACATTCACTCACTCAAACCAACTCAGTGTACAAGTACACACATGAATGAGGAGACAAAAAAGAGATGGGACATAAGGAATGAGCAGAGCATACATTTTCACGACGGACGCTCAACAGACGCACGATTTTCATTTCGTAATGATTCAATGGTGAGGACATGAATTTCCAATTGTTTCCTCAGTTCCTGCATGTGTAGGAATATTTAAAAAATCTAAATCGTGTGAAAAGAAAAATAATTAGTGTTTAACATCTAAATCCAGAGAAAAAAACAAGTAAATTTTTTTTAAAATGTTTATAAATCAAAATTGTTCAACATTCAAAATTTGGATACCGTATTTGATCGTTGAAGGCTTCGAAAATCGTCAAGAGAAATAGGACCTTCTGGTGCACCAATACCAATGCCTTTAAGTCTCTTGCTTTGAGAGCCAAACTCCTCTTCACAAAACAAAATCAAGCATATGAGTGCAGAAATCAGTCTAAACCTCAAACCATTTAAATATACTGCCTAGGTTGGACAGAAATGTAAAAGAATCCCAACAGGCTAAGAAGCATGAACACGAATATGGATATGGGATACAGCAATTTCCAAAAAAATTGGAATACGGACACAATTTACACAAATACTACCAAAATGTCATAGAAAGCATCAACCACATTTCTTGATCAACAAAGTGGAATATGTTCGTAAGTGCCACAAACCAGAAAAATATATGCTCCATGTATTTCTTACATCCACGACATTGCAGAACATCATTACTTCAGCTAAGGTTTCAACTTTACAGTAAATTTGGAGGCAATTAATCACATATGAGCACAAAATATGATGAAAAATGATCAAATAAAATACATGTGACTTTTATAATGAATGTACCAGCTTTTCTCTTCAAAAATGCACCATCAGCCAAGGAATTGGACTGGAGAACTTCTCGAAATACAAATGCAAATGCAAGTTCTGTAACAATCCAACAAAAGAAAGTTAGTCACCCTACAAAGTTGCCATCAATGTGAAGTGCATAATTGAAAACAACCATCATAGGTTAAGCATAATCTCCTGTAGTACGATACACTATGGAGACCTAGACGACACTATAAATAAATAAAAAAATAAGGCCTCAAAGTGCTAAGGAACAAGAGCAAGAGCAAAGAAATATGATTTATCACATAATTTAAACAATCCTGTAAATAAAATAAACAATATTCAATCCTGAACTAGCTTCAATATACTCAAAAATTATAATGCTTATTACAAGAATCTCTATTATGTTCACATTTGTTGTGGTATATATGATAAACAATCGTGCATATGTGCATTGCATGTGTCAATAGATTTCTAACCTCAACTAAAATTCAAATTAAGTTTAGATTGGCAGCATAGTATATCCAACTCTGACCGAGCAAGGATCCTCTAGAGTTTTTTTTTTCCTAAAATTTCCTACAGTGGTGCATTGTGTGGTTAAGATTTAATGACAAGTCACATCAATTTTTCAACATTAAATCTCAACCACACAATACACCACTTTAGGAAACTTTAGAAAAAAAACACTCTAGAAGATCCTTGGTGACTCTGACCAGCTCAACTTTGCACAAAGGACAAAACCCAGCCCACATCATAATTGGGCAGTAAGGATAGGGCACAACTCAGTTGTACAACAACACTGTTGCTTTCTGTGAAGGTTTTCGGGTTATTTAGTGAGCTTCTCCTGCTTTTTTTTTTTTGGTTTCTTTGTTCTGTCTTCTAAAATTCTAAAATTGAGAAGTTGTCTTCCAACTGCTTCATTTTACCTTCTATTGCTAATATTGTGGATGTTGTTTTCCACTAAATGACTTGAGTAATGCCAGATTTAGTACTTCAATTATGGGAGACTTGGGCAGTGAATTACAATTCCAAGTGGGTGCAAATGGCTTGGATGGTGGTGCCCATGTGTTTGATGCAGTTTACTTGGAGGGACTGGAATCGGTGTGTGCCTTTGAGGATGTAGAAATGGCAGTAAAGCACATAGGCTTAAGTTGTGTTTGCTTTTGATCTAATTATATTTGGCTTTTTAGGGAAGCTTTATGATTCTTCCTATTCTCATATAGAGTTTGTAGAAGAGCTAAGTAAACATGAAGGTGTATAGACTAATATAGAAATGAATTATGGATTGATGTAGACAATTTTTCTCATATTGAACATCATATAAACAATTTTGGTTACAAGAAACATTATAAAAAGTAAAGTTGCATAAAGCTTAGCATGTCATATTACCATGTTGGGGAGAAGCTGCAAATGATATAATATCTCCATGATGGACTTCAGCTTCAGGGCTGGTCTTCTTCAATTTCTTCCAGTTGAGAAATGTTCCATTTGTGCTGCAGAAGACTCAATGTAATTAAAGAATTTAAACACTATAACGCATCAAACAAACTGCAAAAATGATACACAACCTAGTATCTTTTAAGAAGACAGTCGAGCAAAATGTGGACGGATTCTCTGAATCTTCAGCTGCAACCCTCTTCCTATAAATTTTGCAGTGATTTCCACTAACTGCATTTGATTCTATCAGGAAACGGATGTCGTCTACTAAGCGGCCAATGCAATGCTCATCAGAAGTCAAAAGCATATTTATGCCCTGGTTTTCCAATTTTCTCGTAAGCTTACACGTAATAAATAAAGACGACAAGAAGTTCTTTAACATGTTAAAAACAAATAATGCCATGCTACAGGTGAAATTTTGCTGTCAACAACCAGAAAGTTACTTTAACATAGATCCAAAATCGCCAAAGCATCAAAGTCAGCATTTTGGAAAGACGCTCACCCTTTTTTATGTCACTAGTTGTACAAATGTAAGAAACACCAACCATTTATTCAAAAAGTGCATTTTGGAAAGACGCTCACCCTTTTTTATGTCACTAGTTGTACAAATGTAAGAAACACCAACCATTTATTCAAAAAGTCGTACAAATCAAACACAATTTCTGAAATATCAAAGAACAATGATATTGACAATAACATCCCTCTCACAAAAAACCCAAAAAAAAATCGAAACATAACTTTTAACCATCAAAAACAAAGTATAACAAAGGATCATACCCTTCTAAAAATATTTCAATTATTTGATATTACCTTGCAGAAGGCTGTCAAACTACCAAAAATATTGAAAACATCTAAAGACAGAGGTTTTAAGAATTTTTTTCATTAATTAGACAAAGTTCAATTGAAGAAAAAGAAAAAGAAAAAGAAAAAGAAAAAAAAAAGGTAGCATGGTCAATTGCATAAAACTTTGGCAACCTTCTATGAGTTACCAATTTTATTGAATTGCTCATCTTCAGTTTTAAATATTTTCACATTAAAGGGACTAAGTGATATATATGATCCCAATCCCATTTGAAAAGTTGAAGGCATGAATGACATCTTCAATTTGTGGGTGTACCATTTTCAGGTAATTGCATCATAGTAATAAACTTCAACTCCAAGGAAACAACATTTAAATTATTGTCAAAAGCATAAAAATCACAATATATCTAAAACTAATTAAAGTTAATAAGCAAACATTGTCTATATGAAGGGAGGGAAGAGACATTCTACAAAACGAATCATGAAATATTACGTGATACCAAAGACATCAATACTAAGAAGACTCTGCAAAGTAGGCACTAAATCATACTTCACATATTTCCCAAAATGTGGATATATGTTTTCCCTGCTATGGAAAGGATAATGCAAATGGATCATGTTACCAAAAGAAACATAAATAGTGTAGGAAATGCATCCATTCAGAACAAAAGTACTTCACACCAAAGTGTTATTCTCACACAGATAGTCTGTGATCTCTCTCTCAAAAAAAAAATCTGCGGCAGATATACTATTCTACGATTCATTTTTACACACCTCCTGAATAGAATGGAATATAGAGCCTCTGACCACATTAACACCACAACTTACTAATTGCTATGTAATAAAAAATAAAAATAAAAAAAGGCAAAATTTGGGAGTCTCCATAAATTTGAATTACATTTCCCCATTGGATTTACCTAGCACTTAGAGAAACAGACTGATCATCTGGAACAATACAACTTATGAAAATTGGACCTATAACCATAACTAATGATATGAGTTCTGGTGCAGGTTTTCTTATTCCCACAAATTAAGTCATATGACATTTCCAACTGTTCCTATTGTAGATAATAATAAAAAAGGGCAACCCAATGCACCACGTTTGCGCTACAGCGGGGTCTAGGGGAAGGCTACATGCAAACGTGATTGAACAATTCCTAGTATTAATACAAGTGTTTAACCGAATGCATAAACAATTAGTAAAACAATCGTTGAACAGGCTTTGTTAACTTGTGATTGAGCACAAACTTTTGATCCCAGTAATTCAGTTTAATCTATGAATTCAACCTAAGCTTTAATTCACTCAAATTTACTAATTTAGCCTCTAGTTTGTCTCCTCCAACTATGGCAGCCCATAAACCCCAATCATCAATCCAGGTGTGAAGTGCATGCATTTGTTACAAACTGCAAATCCAAACAATGGGGCCTAAACCCACATTAAACAAATCTTAAAAAACATCACAAGTTCTTAATTTCACATTCAAACAATTGACACTCGGAATCATACTACATTGAACCAATTATCATGAATTAGGGTTTAACCTGTTGCCTCTTACGGGCGTTGTTAGAGATAGCAGTGAGAACGCCCCAGACATCAGGATCAGAGTTCTGAAGAGGCTGAGAAGAGATCTTCGCTGCTACACTGACTATGAACTCTTTAGGGCTCAGAGGATTCTTGGGTGATGGAGAAGCGTCATTGTCATCAGGGTTTGACGAACTGGCCTGCGAGATTATCCGAGCTTCGTCTTTAGGGTTTGGAGACGGCTTTGGAGCCAGTGGGGTCTGTGGGTCTTCATCTACTTTCGCCATTTTCAAGGCTCGAGATCAGAAATCAGAGAAGAAGGAAGATATATATGCGTACATACACACAAAATGTTTGCGTATTTACATGTAAAATGTATGTGTTGATTGAGAGTGTAGAGAGAGATGGAGAGAAGCTTCTTGGTTGAAAATGGCGGGGATTTAAGAACCCTAGTTTCGTGTTCGGTGGTGTTGCTGAAAGACAAACGACCAGTTTATGTAGTGGGTGGGACTGGGGTTTTGATCTCGTTGAAAAGTTGATTTTGATTGATCAATTTATAGTGGTGATTCATTTCACTAATTTTTAGATCATTAATAGCGATAATGAGTTTAAAAAAAAAATAAACAAATAAACTCAAGTTAAAATATCACATCATTTTAGTGGAAGTCACTGTACCACATTATTAGTGATGTTCTAGAACTCTCAATTTAATGCTCTAAAACATTATTCATCAATTTATTTCAAGAGTAAGGGCTTTTTTTTTTTTTGGGAGTAGCTAATAAATCAGTTAATTGTCTTTTTAATTGATTTAAAAATAATGTTATATGTATCGATTGGTAAAATGATGTGATATTATTTTAGAGATTTTGAATTTTTATAATTTATATAATATATTATTTTAGAGATTTTGAGTTTTTATAATTGATATGGTGGGGGTGTTTGGGAAGTTTGATTTTTGGTTTTATTTTTTTTTGTTTTTTTTTATTAAAAGATAAATTGGTTACAAAATCAAGAAAAAATTAATTCAAATAAAATATCATATCAAACTTTATAATCATTTTATTTTTTATCTTACAAATATCACATCTAATCACAAAAAAATCTAATTATCTCCCCCAAACACAAAAAAAAAATTTCTCCAATAAATATCTTACAACTAAAAAAACTTATAAAAAAATCAACTTCCCAAACACCCACAATATGTTGGGTTAATAATAATGTTATAATATATGTTGATACATATTGTTATATCAATTGGTGCATGTAGCATCCTCGTTTACTTAAATCACATTAACTTTTTACTTTTTGTATTTTTCTGTAATACATAAAAAAATTAATTTATTTAACACTTTTCAAAACAATTTGGTCTTGCTTGGTAAGAGGGTTGAGACTAATTTAATTCGTTAAATGACAAAATAAATTAAAAAATTAATAAAATAACATGTCATATTTAAAACATAATTTTTTTTTTTTAAATTATTGAAAAAATTAAAAGTTCATCCCAAACATTTTTAGTCAAGTCAAAATGAAAAAAAAAAAAAAAAAAAAAAAAAAAAAAAAAAGAAGGATCGAATAAAAAAAACACTTCCAAATGAAAGCTTTGACTTCTTATCTTTCAAATTATCTACTCTAAATTATCAGTTTTATTTAGTATTAGTTTGGTAATTTATTTTTCTAAAGTTAAGGGGAAATTGTAAATACACCTGGAACAGTCACAAAATAATTGAATTATAAATATAAATTTTTTTTTTTTTTTTGTGCAACTCTAATATATAGGAAGAGTTGCACTAATTACATGAATGAATTTATACCATACATACAGAAGAATTATACTATCATGAATTTTATTTTTATTTTTTTATCACTGCTTCACTGAAATATAATTTTCCCAAAAGTTAATGTGTTTTGGATATATTTTTAAGTTAAATAGATAATTGTGAAGAAAAAATAATTGATTGATATGTATAACGTGATATTTTGATTTTTTTTTATTTTTTGTGACTTTTTAACTAAAAATATTGACTGTCAAACGGGCCCTAGTTTCTAAAAAATTTTAAATTTTGTTCATTTGATTGAATTATAGATAATTGTATAAATGTAATCGTTGATCTTAATTTGATAGGTAAAAATGTAATTTTATAATTTAGATAATTTACAAATTCATTTAGGAATTATTTTTTTAGTATTTTTACAGGAAAAAAAGTACAAAAAATAGATAAAATAGATTGACTTTTTGTATGAACTCTTTAAGTTTTTGAATAACTTAAGTTGTTTAAAATATGAAATATTTTTTTATCAAATTAATATCAAATTAAAAATTAATAAGTAAAAAGTAAAGGATAACAACATTTCCTTTTTATCATCTCAATATTCTCAACTTTTTTTAATTTATTTAAAAGTTGTATATTACGTAAATTTTCAAATAGGGCCTATTTATATTTTCAAATTATAACTTCACTCAATTAAATTTGTCAGAGATTAGCTTAAAATAAATAAATGAAAAACATATTTATAAAACTCAATAAATTTGAATAAGTTATAACTCATTCAACCGATTTATAGCCCAATATACTTGAGTAAAAATTGGCTATGTTTGAAAATAAAATATTTTAATTAAAAAGTCATTATGAATAATCAAATAATTTTTTATTTTTTGACACCTTTTATAAAAAGTCACCAACCTTCTATTTTTAACAAATCCAACCAAAATACATCGTTTGCATTTGAGGAGTAACATTTATAATCAAAAAGTTTAAAAGTCATTATAAATTTTCATATCACTCTATTTTATTTTTTCATAAAAAGTTAAAAAATAACTAAAATAATCAATTCTCAATGGGGTTGTTATTTTCTTTTCCCTGAAGCATCACAAATTCGATGTTGAAATATGAAGTTAAAGTATTTTTACTTCCAAAGCATTCCAGTAAATATAAGCTCTTTTTTGTATTGTGCAGTGTTCTTTGATGAAACAACCGAGAAAAAAAATAAATAAAAGTTATAATATGAAAATTCTTTTAATTTGATAATATATTCTCATAGTCGAAAATCACTACATTAGACTTTACAAGATTAAAACCGCTGAAGGTCATTTGCGAAGGCTAGTCATGAATAGAAACCATCCTAAACCGGCGAGGCTAGATCGTCTGAACCCATAATTCTGTATCTTCCTATTCCAAACTATCTCTCTATCACATAATGAGTCTCTTGCTTGATCGTGTGGTGGGAAGAAATCTTAGAACAAGAGAGATCCGGACAGAAAATTATCAGTCTAAAACAATATGTTCTTGTATCCTCCAATGGATGACAATCCTAGACCCAACTCACAACTAATATATCTAGCTATGGATATTCAACAGGAACAAACTAATAACAAAGAAAACAAAAACATTGTTCGAAATAAAAAACAAAGAAAACAAAAACCAAATCAATTGCTAGGACCACATAGCTTTAAATAAAGATGAACCCAGTTCTATATATGGAGCTCAGATTCATTTATCTAGTCGTAAAACATCCAAATGTGACCAACAAAAGTTAGCAAGTAATGAAAATACAACAGATTCATTTTTTCTTACTTTCAATTTTACCTAAAATTCAAGTCTGTAACAGCAAATGACAAAAAACTGCCCAGTAAAAGTTGATTTTTCACTACTCTGACTTCCACAGAAACAAACTAACAACCAAAAATCGTTTGGAAAAAGCCTATCCGGCGAGTGGGTTAGCATGTATTGTTACACGATTGATTCTGATTTCAGCAAGAGGTTGATCCCCTGGTCCAGTTGGAGTCTGCAAAAACCCCAGAAACAGGTTAATGAATAAAGTATCTACTATATACTCATGTCAAGAGAGTCCAGAAGCACCATATCAAGAAGCATGGCACACTCATGGTGAAAATTAAAAAATAAGCCTCATCTAGGAAATCATCAACATCAATAATCATTGGCAATAAACATATAGGTTATATTATATGTAGGTCTACAAATGAATCGCACTGCTAGTGCGCTTGGCTCGATTCAACTCGGTAAGGATTCAGCTTGGCTTGGATGGCTTGACTCGGTTCGTTATGTATATAAATGAGCCCAAACTAGATTTTTAGGATCATTTAATAAACGAGATGAACCGAGCCGAGCTCGAGCTAGAATAAACTTGGCTCGTTAATTATTTATTTAGATAATAAGATAAATATTTTTATTTTTAAATAATGAAAGATGTTGTTAAAACCTATCACCTACTTCACCCACTTAGGTTCGTTATGTATATAAATGAGCCCAAACTAGATTTTTAGGATCATTTAATAAACGAGCCGAACCGAGCCGAGCTCGAGCTAGAATAAACTTGGCTCGTTAATTATTTATTTAGATAATAAGATAAATATTTTTATTTTTAAATAATGTAAAATGTATTATATATGCATATTTTATATAGAATAATATTTAACAGGTCGACCAAGTTTGGTTATTAGGCCAAACTTTTTCTTCATTATCGTGCTTCAAGCCGAGCTTGAGTAGGATTAGTATTAATGAGCCGAGCCAAGCTCAAGCTGGATTAATTTTTGAGATGAGCTCAAGACCTCAAAAGCTCAGCTCGGCTCAACTCATTTGCAACCTAGTTATATGGTGATAAACAAACACTCTCTTAGTGATACAAATTACATACTCCAGTCTATGAAAGAGATAATAAGCCTCGGTCACCAACAAATACGAAAGTACCTTTTCCATGAGATCGAGGACCTCAAACCCATGAATTACTTTGCCAAACACAGTGTACAATCCATTGAGATGTGGTTGCTTTCCGTAAGTCATGAAGAACTGGCTTCCATTAGTGTTGGGACCACTATTGGCCATTGCCAGTACACCCCTTGCATTGTGCTGGAAGAAGAGCCAAAGAAAAAAGTCAGGTTCACACTGAGAAGTAACACCAATCAATAAACATGTTGTCCAGCATCAGGCAACTTGTCACACTGCAACATTTAAGACGTAACAAGAACAATTGGTTGAACCAACCGGACTATTTCTTTTGCAAGGATCTCTTATGCTTAATATCATGTAAAAATCTCCACGACTGTAAAAGTTTAGAAGGGTCAGGCCTGTCTAGGGCTCAGAATACTATTGCAGCCTGCTCTAATTTGTGGCACCCCCACTGCCCTTTTTCCTACACACACACACACACACACATATATATAGAGAGAGAGAGAGAGGCAGACTCATAGTTATCATATGCCAATCAAATTTTCCCAAGTCAAGGGCACCCTAGCCTCTTTTTAGCTCTCAGCTCACAAATCATAAAATTGATTACAGGCTTGTGTCCAACTAATATTAAGTTGTGATCACTTTTCTCCCTTTTGACAAGAGTAGACACATTTCATGAAAGTGAATTTGTTCAGTAAAAAGAAAGCGGATCAAGAATCAATAAATTCAAGAGATACAGAAAACAAAATGCAAATATCAGCAGCTTGAGAAATTGTCAATTTACCTTGAGAGACTCTCGTATCTCATCACTGAACTTCTTTCCCCATATACTGGTCCCTCCTTTCCCTGTGCCTGTCGGGTCTCCACCTTGGATCATAAAACCCTTTATATTTCGGTGGAATATGGTCCCATCATAATAGCCGCTGGCACATAGTGCCAAAAAATTCTGAATCCAAATCAAGTACACATACAGTTAGCCCATGATAAGTAAAGTAATGGTCTAAAATGGAATATTGCTGCAGCTCTAGCAAAAGTTTCAGCTGCAATCACCTCATACAACAGACTCCAAAAATGCATTATTAACAAAACAGAAAGAAATTTGTCAGTACAAATACATTACATGCTCATAGCAAGAAGAAAGTGGTGACTGAACCAATATGAAGTTCTCATGCTAAATAAGTTTAGACTATAGAGTACGATTCTAGAAAATACCAATAAGAATTTGCTGTTATCACATGAAAAGCAGAAACCATGAAATGAAAAATAAGATAAGGAAGAACAATATTTATATGAAAATTTAACCAGGTTATGGTAGTAATTACTTCACCATACAAGAATAAGTAAAGACTTGCATCACATTCATTCAAATTCAATGTGACATAAATAAATAAATAAATAAACAATAGGGGGCACTTGGGAAACTAAACCAACGACCCCGAATCTGCATTGATGAAAATGGAGAGTCAGTTGAAGAAACAGCTATTACACATCTGTGATTGGTGGTGCCAGTGTTTAGACTTTTACACCCCGAGTATAATGAATACCACAAGGATCGGGACTAGCATGTAAAGGCACCAAACCACTCAATAATGAGCTTCAATATATTCAGCACATATGATGCTTATCAGGTCTGCATGGTCCTCTAGGTTTATTTTAAAGGATCAATGGTGAACGGGATAAATCATCAACAGCTTTGCATGAACATAACAGAGTTATCATCTGGTTTTTTTATAAAAAGAGATTGAACACTAGAGTTGGCACAATCTGAAAAGGAAATAGTAACCATGGAAATGAACAAGCCTAAGAAACTAAAATCAATGCGGATTTTCCAACTCTCCTTGAAAACGTTGTGCTCCAGTAATCTGAGTTTTAAGCGTACCTATGCAACACCACTTGAGTTACATCCCTAAACTTCCCACCCAAAGCATTGAAATACAGTTATCAATATAGATAAGACAAATACAGAACAATTGTTTGTCTCTGAAAAGTAAAAAATGAACAATTTGGAATTTTGTATCTCACGAAAGTATAGAAAATTATCGTCTATATCAGTTAACACTAAAGACAACATCCAAAAAACAAGGATCCAACAGAGCATATTCTTCAACAAATGAACAATTTTTCACTTTTAAACACATTTCTACCTATTATTCTTAAAATATATCACCTCCAAATTTCATCCACTCAGTGTCATAAAGACCTAGAGTTTAAATGTAGAGCTTGTAAAAACTCATATCTCCACCTTTGGCAAACATGCCCATCCTCGAATTTATCACAGAAAACTAAGAATTTTCAACCACCAACTTTTTGGTCAGTGGAATCCTTCCCTTCCTAATACACACATCATAGTCTTGGTGTCTATAGCTCCTAACTTACATGAACAACAATGTTTAACTTCCAATTAGACCTCATCTCCTGCTTTACAGTTCAACAATTGAACAACGATGTTTAACTTCCAATTAGACCTCATCTCCTGCTTTACAGTTCAACAGCTCCTCCACCTACTGCTCAAAACTTTTGGCTGCTATACAAGACCAACTTGGCATAGCAGACTTGAAGGTCATAATCACCTAAATAATACCCAAGACAATCTTTGTTGAGGAGTCATGGATTAAGCACAAACAACGGTATCCACTACGGACTATTATCACTGGTAAGAGGAATATCATTAAAACCCCCTCCTTATAATCATTCATCTGGGTTACTAAACATGAGTTTTTTCTGCAATTTCACTCAAAGCCACAAATCAACATTAAAACATGCCATAAGATTTTTAATTGACTATCTAATCATAAAAAATATATAAATTCATCTGTAATATTAAAACTAACCGATGTATAACAAACAATTCCTACCTAGTCAAGCGATAGAAACTAAACATTCAACCCTTAAATTATTCCATCTTTACACTCAAGAAAATAAAAAAAAAAAAAAAAAAAAAAATCCAGTAAACTGAAGATTAACACAACTGGTTTGCTTTATTGAGCTCACTTTTCATATATTAAACTAAATATACATAACGGAAACAAAAACCACAAGGTTTGGAATAATCTTTTCACTTTTTCTTTTTTTTTTTTTTTTTTTTTGCCCAGGAAACAAACAGAGGGGAAAACGAGACATTGTGAAGGTGGGGTTACTAACCTCGGCTGCTTTGGGGACCTCATCGCAAGCGATCTCGCACTTGATGTCTCCGAGATTGGTGTGAATCGTCACTGACTGCAACAACCACACATCCAAAGATGCGAGTTCGTCATCAAAATATTGAAACAGATTGAAGTGAAAGTGTTCGATGAAATGCCGCAGTGAAATAAAACATACCATTTGCTGGTGCGTAAATTCCCCCAAGTTGGAGATCTCAGCCTTCTCTTCTTGGTTCGCGCGAGAGTGGGGTCTTCTGAATTTATATACTGAACGTTTGGATTGGGTCAATCTAGAAGAATAGAAGTTGGACACTTTTCTTTCCAAATCTGAAGATAATTTTTGTGAAATTGGCAAAAAAAAAAAAAAAAAAAAAAACAAAAAATTAATAATAACAATAAAAATCAAAGTTTGACTTCCAATCCTGAATAATTTTGTTAATTTAAATTTTAATATTTTATTTATGTGTTTTTATTAAGTAAAATCGAAAGGAAAAATAATATTAGGATAATTACCAAAAAAAATCCAAAGGTTGGGGCTGGTAACAAATTAAACCCTAGACTTGTAATTGTTTTAATTTAAACATTGATATTTTAAATTCATTGCAATCACAACCATTCTAACACCGTTTAAGACATTAACGGAAAAAGAGTAAATATCACTCTTATGATGATTCAGATCTATTTTCTGCGAATGACTTTACATGACTTAGATCTGAATGGCGACAGGTAAAATCTTCGTTAGAGATCCTTGTCTCAAAATTATAACAACCAGAAATGAAGAAAAATGGAAGATATGGTGACCTAAGATGAAGGAGAAGTTATTAGTTGGTCTTGGGCACCACTACGTGGTGCCCAATAGTGTTGTGATTGATGGAGAGGGTAGGACCACAAATTTGTGTTGGGTAATTAGGGAACGTAAGGGGCATAGTGAATTGTGATTGGTAAGGGATATGGTTAGGTGACGCCCTGGACTGACCAATAAATTTTCAAGATGAAGTAATTGCAAGTGGGGTTGGTTCGTAGTGAGAGAAAATTATAAGAGAAGAAAAACCTTTTTCGGTACTTCACCAAACTTACTTTCGGCCAACAACAAAGCATTGTTCTGATACAAAAGAAATTGAAGTATTTTTTCTAGGTCAAATGTAGAACGCAAACTAATTAAAAGCCAAACTCAATCAAAGCAATTAAAAAAATTTGATTTATTAATTGTGAAATCCTGCATATATGAAGTTGATGACTTTGATAGGGGCAAATCTTCATTGCAATGAAGTTTTCAAAAAGAAGAAAAAGAACTCAATTTTCTGGTTGATTGAGAGATGATTAAATGCTAATTTGGGAAATAGAAAAAGAAACAACATCGATTTTCTCGTCTCAGAAAGTGTGGAGAATACGGGTCTCTGTTTCTTTTTCGACTCCCTGTTTTTACGTTGTTGCATTTGTTTCATTTTTGCTTTCTTTTTATTTTTTTATTAGTTATTCGGCTCACTTTCCAATTTCCACATCAAATTTCTACATCATAATGAAATAGTGTATTTGGTTGAGAGATTTGAGAAGAAATTTGAAAAGGGAAAGAAAAAATGTATGTGAAACTAAGTAAATTTAGGAGGTTTATTTTATTCACATTTTAGTTACCTTTTTCCTTTCTATTTTCAATTATGTTCTTAAATTTTTCAACTAAACATTAATAGAGCCAGTGTAAATGAGAATGAGAGAGGAAATCAGCGTTGGAAGAAAGAGGTAGTTAGAAAAGGATAAGGGAGGCGCAGCTGGAAAAGAGAAACAGTGCGGCTAGGAGAAGGGATGGGTGGTAAGAAAGGTAACGATGCTAAACACAGGAATAAATGGCTAGGGATGGTGGAGAAAAAGTTATTGGAGGAGGGTTGGATCATATGTAGTTCAACACATAGTATAATTTAGGCAAAGTTTGTTTGGCTTCATACTGTGAGATTGGGTGAGGAGATTATTAATATGAGTCCGGATCCTTTGCCATTGTTTCTTGTGGCGGGTCAAAACAACGTCGTGATTGTGAACATCTCTGCCTCAATCTCCAACTTCCCTTTCCTTCCACTCTCATGCCCAGCCAACCTCACATTTGACTCGCTCTTCCTCACGCTAAACTCCATCGCCTTCTCCACCCCCTCCATCCTCTCTATTACTCTACTCACCACCGTTGCAAACCTCATCTCCTCCTTATTCTTCCTCTCCTCGAATTGTTGGGTATACTTCCTTATTGGAGTATGGGACCCAATTGGTTTATTAAAATATTTAATTTGGATTGGTGTTGGTTATAATATATTTTTAATTTATTATACCTAACTTTTGGAGGCCCAATGGGTTTTGATATAAAACCTAAGAATTAACAATATTTGATTAGTGTTGGTATTGTTTTTGTCGTGGGTGTACAGCGGTTGCTATAGAACAATTGATTAATCAATTCGGTGGGTGCAACGTGAAGTAAAAGAAAAACTTGTGCTCTGCTTTTTGAAGATTGATTGCTCAATCAATTTGTGAGGTGGTCTTGTGCTTGGGTGAGATTTTTGTCTCACGCGGTGTGTGTTTCAAAAGACTGTTTGGATCACAAATTTGATACAGTTTGGTGGTCTTTTACTGTTGGAACAATCTTCTGTGTAAATACATAAATAAATTGAAACTAAATCAAACAAAATAAAATAAATAACTTACATAATTTATTTTATCGAACCGAATGAAAAATAAAAGACCAAGTCGAGTGTGTGACATTCTGTCCTTAAAACATATTCGCCCCGTTACGGTGTTTCCAGTTGAGTGGCGTCTATCTCCCAAGATACAATGATCTTCACAAATTTGTAGTAGCACTCCAAACAAATTTGTCTGGCGAACTAGAACCTTGTGTTCTAATACTCTCTTTAATTTTCTCTAAAACTAGAATGAAGATTATAAACCCAAAGGAGGGAAATAGGAAAGCAAAAAGAAATTTTTTCTGTCAATTTTTTGGATCTAAAATCTGCTGGACAGATCTGGTTTTATAGACCTAAACAGGTGCAAAATTTGAAGTGAACAGATGGGTTTTTGAATTGAACAGGTGTTGTTTGAAATCAAACAGATTTGCAAACTGTTTCAACAGATTAACTGCTTCAGTTGAAAAACTGTCCATATTTTGAATCTGTTTGGACAATTTAACAGATCTGAAATTGTTTAAATTTGTTTGGCAGTTTCTGTAGGAAATTTGGACAAAATGAGTCACAAAATTGGACAAGAATTTGAATTCAAATTCAAATTCGAATTACAAAATTTAAATTAATTTTTCCTGCAAGAAATTTTGAAAAAAATTCAAATAAATTTTGTCCAAAAAATTAATATTAGAACCGACCAGGCCCACAACCTACACCTACGCCCGGCATGGCTCGGCTCGACCGGACGGACGGCTGCGACGGTGCGCGCGTGTGGTGATTTGGGCTAAGGTTCATTTTGTCCATAACTCCTCCCTTCTACAAACTTGGGGTGCCCCTTGGGGCCCAACCCAAGGTTGTACACCTAGAGCTTATATACTCACAAAAGCTCTTTTTCAAGTTTCAATGTGGGGCAACTCATATAAGGAAACCCACATTTAATTCTTGAATTTGTTCAATTCCACGAACCCGAAAATAACGTCAAGTTCCCATTCACTCATAAATGGTTTTGACGAACCGTCTTCACCGTGTGACTTACCACGCGACAAGGAACACGTCACCTCTTTGGACCCGCGCCCAAAAGACGTTTGGGGCCCACTCAATTTTGAGCTCACAGTTGGCCCAAAATAAGCTTAATAAAACCAATTTTCCAACAATCCCCCACATGAATAGAATTTGACGGAGAGAAAATGCAACAACATGATCTAATTATAGAGAGTACAGAAATTGGAAATATTCTGCAATTGATAGGTAACTTTTGGCTTTGAACCTTCCCTTGTAAGACACTGTCAGATTTACTAGCTAACTAGTGAATATGATGTCTTGAACTGTTTAGCCGTTTGTGTAAAATAAGACAATAGAACTCACATTGTATATCCCCAAACATAGTTTAGTTCTCACTATTGTGTTCATTTTGGTCCTGAACAACCTGGTCTTTCATGAGTGCTCTAGAGAATTGTAGCCCTTCACAAATCTCATAGAACTAGCCCAGTTCACGCTCACATAGGTGATTCTTATGAAGAGTATCCTGTCATACTCCACTAGGTTTACCTAGATATAAGAATCATTAAAATTTTACTTAACCTAAAACACTGCGGACATCACTATTTCATCCTAGAAATGGGTAGGAGTTGGACTCCCCAATGATCTTTCTGAGTCATACACAACTCGGTTGTCTCTTTGAACCTAGATCTTGGGATTTCCAGTCAACTAGGTTGGGTTGCCATTGTGGTAACTCTTATTTAATAGGCTTAAGTCTCATTCCCCTCGATGAATTCTCAACTAGCTCTCTTGCTAACCCTTTGGTTAGTGGATCCACTATGTTGTCTTTAGACTTCACATATTCAATGGAAATAATTGCATTAGAGAGTAGTTGTCTTACGGTGTTATATCGACGACGAATGTGTCGTGATTTACCGTTATACATATGACTCTGTGCTTTACCAATTGCTGATTGACTATCACAATGTATGCAAATAGCAGGCACTGGTTTTGGCCACATTGGAATATCTTCAAGGAAGTGGCGAAGCCATTCTGCTTCTTTCCCACCTTTATCTAAAGCTATGAATTCTGATTCCATAGTAAACCTAGCAATACAAGTCTGTTTGGAAGATTTCCAAGATACAACAACCCTACCAAGAGTCAAGACATACCCACGGGTAGACTTTGAGTCTCTAGTATCCGATATCCAATTTGCATCACAGTATCCTTCAAGTACTGCTGGATATCTAGTATAATTCAGCCCAATGTTACGAGTAAATCGGAGATATCTAAGAACCCTTATAATTGCTCTCTAGTGTTCTACTCCTAAGTTACTCGTATATCTACTTAATTTACTTACTGCATAAGCTATATCCGGGCGAGTGCAGTTCATCAAGTACATTAAGCTTCCAATAATTTGGACATACTCTAATTGAGAAATACTTTCATGTACATTCTTAGAAAAAAACAAATTAACATCTACAGGTGTTCTAGTAAGATGGTCATCATCTTTGCTAATTTTGTCAAGTATTTTCTCAATGTAATGAGATTGTGACAAAGTATATCCTTCTGATGTTTTGGTAATTTTCATACCAAGAATTACATCAGCAATGCCCATGTTCTTCATGTCAAAATGTTTATTCAACATTTTATTGGTAGTTTTAATCATATCATTATTACTACCTATGATGAGCATTT